TGCAAGCTTTAGCCTTGGAACGAGTTTGTTAACCCTGATACGCTCTATGAGTCTACCCCTTCATCACTCCCTGTTTTTTTCAAGACTCAGTGCCAGCCACAACTGGTTGTGGTGGTGGAACCTCGATGGTGACGTGTACGATGAAAAGTGTGCAATTGTAAGGAGCGTAATGAAAACATTTGCTGCGTACGTCTGTTGTGCGGATACGTATCTGCTGTATTTCTAGGCGGACTGGACGTATTGAGTGAGCTTCGTTTAGCAAATGACCGAACAAAGACCAACGGTTCTGTGGCCTGTTTTCGCAGGCTCGTTGTAGGACCTTTTGTTACGCTCGTGGCTTCCATCTGGTCAGTCCCCACCCCAGTTCCTTCCCGGCTCTTCAATCTGCACTCGTTGTCCATCGCGATCTGTGTTTTTTCGACCGCGTTTCATTTAGGATTCCAGCCTAACCCAACGCCGCTTTCACTTCATTCTTACAACGACTAGCCACTTCGGTTCCCATCAGATAGCTTTTCCGCTTGCGGTGCTGCAGCGAAGGCGACGGCAGCAATGGCCGCGTTTGCGGTCGAAAACGAACGATACTGCTAATAGTACGGCAGAGAGGAATTCGTATATGGTGGTGTAACTACTAGCACATCGGGGCAGATTTACTGGTACCACGAAGAAATGGTCGGAGAGCAGGGAGAGCGATGGGAAAGTCGGAGGAATATGGCCTCTGTGTTTGGGGCGAAGATTGGGCGAACGAAGCGGCCGAGACCCTATTTCTCTAAGGTTCTGTTGGTTCGGTTGGCATTGTTGCTGTATGCGTGATATCATATTGAAACCAGATCTGTCCGCTCATTTCGTGACTGTATCATCTAGTAGTATTGTACTCACAGTGGATCGTGATATTCCGTTTCGGAACGCGAATGAGTTTCAGATATTACCAAACCACCTGCACGCTTTCTTCCCCACTCTTCTGGGAACTTCTCCTCTCATATTTGCTTTCGCTCGCTTTAGGTGAGGATGGATTGGCGAGGGCATGCCGTTGCACGTATTCTCAAGAAATGGCGAGTAACGACTAACCAGCCGACAACCATCAGAACATACGATAGGGAGATCAGTTACAGTAGGAGTTCTTAGTGAAAGAATAGTTTGTCCATCGTAATACCGCCGTTAAGGCGATGCAGGAACTCGAAACAGGGAACGGCTGCTGTCGCCAACGCTACCACTGTGAGTCCCGGGATGTTCATAAATGGCCCCCTTCAAGCAGTAAAGCATTCTCTTCCCATTCGTTACCGTGCATCTTTTTCCTTTTGTACATGACAGGACGGCTGTGTGGGACGCATTAATGAAAGCACGCAGCTCCGGTCAAGCCAGTAACGGCAAAAAAGCTGAGCTAGTGCTACGGCCCCGTTTGGTCCCTGCCCATTGCGATACGGGCGTCCCTAAAAGTGAGTAGGAAAAAAGAAAAAAATCATAAAACAGAACGCTTTTTTGTCACTTTGTGTCATACCAGCCCCTTTTCTTCTCTTCGGCCATTTCATCGTATTTGGCCGTAAGCGAGAAGGGTAAAACATCGCTTACTAATTGTTTTGCTAACGTACGATTTATGTCTGTTTCATCCAAAACAAAAAGGCAAACGGTGGCTGAAATAATATTGAAGATTTACCACCAGAACGTCTTTTGCACGCAATAACTAGTAGCTTGAATTGGAAGTATTTATTTGCGGCTCGCAACATGTCATATGCTTAATGTGGCTTACAGAGTATGACTAGTCAAAGATTTCTCCTACCTGAAGTAAATGTTTCGAGTTTTACGTCGAGGTAAAAATTGCTTTAGAAAACTGAATGCCAACACGACACCAGGTACGTCTGAGGCCGGGTGTCCCTAAGGTAGCTAAGTACACGCGTTACCACTACGGAAGTAGGTTTCTACTGTCCTAAAAGAACCGAAAATCAGTAACTATCTTCTTCTCGGGTTAGACCCTCAGCAGATTCCTATATAGGGCCCATAGAGGCAACTTTGTTGACAACAGAGCCAAACGAAGTGTCGACAGTTGATAACAGAATATTTTGTCCAAAAAAACCAAAGAGCCAGAAAATTGGAGTAGCTTTTGTCATTGCCATGAACCATTTTAGAATTATGGCAGGTTAAGCTCCTCAATTCAATTGACTAACATAAATCGCCTGATGAAGATGATTGATCTTTATTTCACATATGCGTTTCGTATACAGGATTAATCATGGTGATCTTCTTGGACACCTTTACCGTTAATTGAAAACCTTAATCGCGATGAATCTTCTGCTAAATATCACTTCAGTCAAGGCGAATATGTGAGCGAGCGCGTGCGTTGTGCAGATCTCATACACCTAACTTTTAGAGAATATTTAAAATACTAGCTTGTAGCTTGCCAAATTTGTGGTCAATTACATGATTTTACATATGATGTTAAATAGGGAGCTGAAAATATGCAGTTACACTTATTCATTGAAAAGAAAGGTAGACCATGCATTATTTGAGTACATAATGGTATGTTTTGTTCAGCTGTTGAATTGTATGTATGTCAGAGATTTAGGACCGCAGAATTCCAAGTTCTAATCCTGCAAAGCACATTTCTGCAAGTGGTCATACTATTTTTATATCGAATATCAAAATCAGATGCTTTAGAGTTACCGGATGATATGGTTATAAGGTCCGAGAAAGGTAAGCATAGTTCTAAATTGGGCTGTTTTAGCTGATGGAAAGTTACGTATGTATTTTTCGTATGTTTAAATTGATCAGCCAAGTATCAATAAACGCGCATTTATTTTTGCATGTTTACTGCATGCAAAAAAAAAAAAAAAAAGAAAACAACTAGCTATCTTTATCATCATTCGTGTATCCTGAGATGTGCGCTGGAACAGAGGGACGATTTAGCTAATTCCCTCAAAATTTGACATTCTCATAGCTCCAGTCGCTCGTATGCGAGGAAACGTTCTCAACAAGGGATGATTGACCTTTTTGGGGAGGGATTGACAAAATGGCGCGAGTAGAGATAAAGATTTTTGGCGTTGCATTCAATTGAACTGAAACAATAATAGAAATAAGATCAGGATGCTTGCTCGTTTCGATCATGAGTAACGCACGAGTTACTCTAAAAAGATCTGCTTGAATCATTCCACATTTTGGATAAGGAGCTGCTTTAGAACGCTCGCTTGGAATATTAGTGGCCATTAATTATTCCTTCCTGTTTGTTGCGTCTCGCCTGGAAGGCCTCTCGTTAATGTTTAGCCATAATTTTCTTTTAAATAGACGATAGCATATACCTTATTATATGATTTGAATCATTATGGAGAAGCGGTGCTTTATTGTGTAGGTTTGAAAAGGACTAATATAGAAGCTTATTATAGCCAGATAAGACATGTTCTATTTTATCTTTTGCTTTTAAGATAACTAGGCTCGAATCGGGCATGTTATTTATCGATACAGGCTATGTGAGATCGAGCTGCGTACGGAAACGTAAAAACGCTTAAAATGTAAAGCTTGAAACACTTAGGCCATGAATCGGCCATTTGGTGATTGTATGCCTTAAATACAACATTTCACTTGTGTATATGTTGCATTCGAAAAGTGAAGATCGTCTAGCTTTTGCAAAAATCAGAATATGGAATTGTAGACGTACGAATACTGCTGTTAGTAGCTGTTGAAAGGCCTAAACGATTGTTGCCAAGTTCAGTACCCTAGGTCTAATGTCCTGTTAGCCGCTACTGCAAAAGGTGTATGTTAAAAGAGTACCCCTATTTGCGCTAAATAATTCGAAGCTTGAGTTTCACAGATTAGTTTGGAGCAAATTTGAAAACGGTGATAGAATCTCTTAACGGTTATATATAGCGGTGAATCTAAGCACTGTTGGCTGACCTAGCATCTCGGGCATAGTAACTCGATGTCCTTGCTTATTAATGTTTATTTAATTATTATATTTGTAGGTAATTCAGTTGCAGAAACGCAGCCTTACTGCTCTTATTTTATACATCTTTGCGCTCTAAATAATAACCAGATCACGCTATTGGTTTCTTAAATTTTGTATGGGCATAGAAAAAATAGAAAGAAAAATAGAAAAAACACACAGGTTACGTTTGAAGCAAGGGCTAGGCAGCGAGACCATGACCTAGATTCTTCTTCTTCGGTCTTGAACAGTCTGCGAATAATGGTAACAGGTGTGTCTATGAGAGGTATCGCCCTTCAAGGTATGGTTTAAGCGAATGCCTTCATGGTGCTTTCGTTTGCGCAACGAAATATTCATTATTATCGTTTCTTTTATCCCCGTGTTTCCGTTCCGAAGTTCTCAAATAAGAAGAAAAACAAACAATTTTTCAATTTACTTTGTTCATAAGGAGCTATTTCAGAATCTAACAAATAGTTCTGTCACAGGTAGGTGACGGTGTAATAAATCTGTTGTTGATAGGTACGAATATATGAATGTGATATATCTCGTTTTACCGAAAAGGAGTGACGTAATTAGTTAAAAAGAGACATGTGGTTACGTAATTTTTTTCGTCTGCTCTAAGCGTGGAGACGGTCGGGCTTTCTGCTTCATTCATTCGGAAAACCAATGAAATCCTTTATTAGCCCTCAACAAGCAAAATGTTCCACCCAAGCGTAGAACATCATATAAATAGATATGCATCGCAAACACAAATGTTCAAGCAGCGTATAAGTTTATGATAATAAGGAGTTAAATAATTACAAAACTGACATTTGTAAGTTGATGTAAATTAATCTTTTTTTTTTTTTAATGTACGCACTTGCGATGGCGCTATTACGCAAAGACAAATACTACAGAATTCAATATTGCTGCCGCATATCGATAGGAATCAAGACGTTTTGCCGTAGCAGCGCCACCATAAGCAAGCTGATAATCATCATTATATATTAGTTCATGTGAGCGTACAATGTTTTCGCGTCTTTATATGTGATCCGTTAGAAACATTAGTGAGGTTCCCCATGAAAAAAGCAGACAATGAGTAGCATTGTCAAATTTGAAACGGTGATAGATTAGATAAACTGATGTGTACGATTTTTGCAGCCCGTAGCCTAAGGAACCCGCATCCTTCTCATTATGTGCAAAACATTGTGAACTATGCACATTGCTACGCACTGCATTTGTTTCACTCGTTATTACATCGAAAGGCTGCCGAGGTAGGACCACGAATTTGGCATCACTCCCCTTGCCCGAATTTTAGAATTTTATAGGGGGGTATGCCCGAATGACAACGAGCTGATGGGAAACTACGACTGGAATAATGAAAGCCAGGCCAATGTGAATCAGGAACTACGACATATATGGAATAACCGCCAAATAACGATCGACGTCAAGGGCGTCGGCGACCCACTTCTGGAACACCCAGTAAGGATTCATGACGCGCTGAGGGGATCGTCTTTTAATGCTGCAAAAGACCAGACGCCATCGTTTCCACTAAACGATTTCCTCATTCAAGGGGATCTGGCATGCATCCTTATCGTAATTTTTTTGGCTTTCGGGGTGGTTACCGTCATCATTGCAGTGACGTCACAAATGACCGTCCTCTTAATACCTGGTGGGCATCATTTAACTGCACATGTTCTTCGCTTTTTCCCGAGTCTACTAAACTCGACTGTATCCGATCGATGAAAAGAGGAAATGTTTTTGTTCACCTTAGTGAAAACGTTTTTGTGTTACTTTCAAGGTAGTTTACCCCAAAAGTCAAACCTACGTAAAATTTCTACATAGGACTGCGATTTTGAAAATTGAATAATGACAGTAGATATCCATGGTACATAATGAAATATTTCAAAATATATACGTGATAATACCTTGATTGGTTGTTGAATTTTACGCGGAATGTAGATAGACCTAAAATCGCCTATCTCGTCCGGCTGTTGTCTATGTTGGCTGAAACATACAGATATGATCAGTTTAGGTAGGGTCTGAAGAGCAGTTTCTTTTTACCAATATAATACTACAATATACTAGCTTTAGCCGACCAAGCAATCGTTTAGATAAATCATAATAGTAAGCTCACCCGCTATATAATTGTTAGATATATCTACTGCGTTTGACCTGCTAGACAGCGCAGGGCACATAGTTTGTTAATTGCCATCGTGTGTTAATCGATTTGGGAATTTAGGTGCACCTAACTGCCATGACAAAAGGACCTGCAAAAAGTTGCCACATTTAAATCTGCGTATCGCCGTTTTCTCAAAGAGCAACTTGAATAACGAACAGTGACGAATCCTTAAATTGAAAACAAAAAAAAAAAAAAATGTTTTAGGGTCTTCACTGCATTCAGGCATGAGCTGGTTGCTAGTTATCGACTGAACGCGTATTTTATTTACAATATTGTGTATTTTAGGATTTGGCATCATATTCACTGCTGTGCTTTACAAGTGGATAAAAATTTCCAAGAGTCAGGATAAAGCTTTGGGAAGTAAGTTAAGGAGCAAACAGCAAAGACATTCATATTCTCCACTACCCACCACCACTACTAACGATAAAGCTAAGAACAACTTCATGGCTTCCCGCCAATTCGAGATTGCTGGCTTCGATGATACTGCTAAGCCGTCTTTGCAGCCCGCCATAGGAAACAAAAATGTAAGTGCTACAGCATTATAATTGGGCTGAATTTTTATATTCTGTCATGATCTCGTGTGCCCGCTTTTACCCAACTTTTGGTTCCATCGTCACGTTGGTACGCTCGTAGGACACACTATACACCATGAACCGTTGCAATTGTGCTATCCTCTTCTACTCATCTAACAAGAGAACAAGAAGATAAAACGACTGAGATATTATCTCATAGGAACTAAATCGGTAGACAGAACCGTCTCGTCGTTTTACCCTGCGCCAAATTTTTGAAGATAGAGATCACAAACGCATCAGAAGGAAGACTGTCAATTGCTGTTAGTAATTATAGTGCTGCCATTTATTCTACTAACGCAATAATGGATATCACCTGATTTGTTATCACGTTAGGCTGACATATCCAAATTTTATCTTTGCTAACGATGAACCGCCTTTGAACTCGTGACATGAAGTCAAGTAGTCATAGGACATGGACATTCTCGAGTGAGGACTTTAAAAACAATGATTATTGCACGTACTGGGTCATTAAAACCGACTAAAATGTTCTAAACTAATAATATTCATTTATTTATTGAGCTATGGTTGTTTTAGTTATTGTGGTGGCTAGTTTAACAGAACAGACTAGTACATAAAAGTTCCTACGGATGTCATGCCATTCGTCCGCTAAGTTTATGCAAGCGTACCCAGTTTGGTCCGTCTATGCCGGGGCTTCTGCTGTTCCATCTCAAGTTAATTGAAACCAAACTTTACTAAAGCCCAAGTCGTACGTGCGCCATATTATACTATTCATATAGAAGCCTTTCAATAACATATCTATTTATGCAGGTATTGCATTCGGGTACAGTATGATCTTTTTATTAGTAACGCTTTAGTTATAACGTACATGTAGCATATCCGAGCTTTAATAACTTGCTTGCAATATGCAAACGGACTTAATACTCACTTTCTGGAAATTCATGTAGGTAAAGAAGATGGCGAACTTGGTTACCCCCGACCCACATTCGGACGAAGATGCCCATGTATTTACAAACAGCACTCAGCAATTTAATTCGTCTCGTCAAGAAGGATACTTTAGGCATAGATATGAGGACCCGACGAATCCCTATCCAGTCCCGAAGGATTCGCTAGTAAGATCCGTGAAGAGGTTCCTTGATCAAACTGACAAACTTAAAGGAGTAACCCCAAAAGCTAAACGCACAGTTAAAGAATGGCCGGCTGAAACTCATTTTGACAAGCCTAAAGAAAGAACGAGCGGTCTTGTTGAACCCATCATTGGTCGTGCATTCAGCCAATGGCAATCTGTTGAACCACTGCTCACAGGGATGGCGAAGGCGTTAGTGCCAAAAATTTCTGGCTCGGTAACTAAGGAAGAGTGTGAGGAGCCGGAAAGTGCTCGCGACGAGCGGCCAGTAGGTTCTGAGATATCAGTGAATATTCCGGTTTCCCCTGCTTCAAGTGCTACTGCATTTTCTGGCACGTCTATCCAGAAACCTCAATATGTTCCTGTTCGAACGAGTATTTCACCAAACATACCGTTGCATCGCACGAAGCAGAAATATCCGTCTCCGTATCCAGACATCCACCCTTCTGCTTCATTTGATAAGGCTCCTTCCCTGGCACCCCCACTTTCTCCCCAGGCACCTCCATCTTTTCTCCACGCACCCCCACCTCCTCCCCATACACCCTCACCTTCTTCCCAGGCATTCCCACCTCCTCCGCAGGTACCCCCATCTCTTCCTAAGCCACCCCAACCTCTTTTGAAATCACCTCCGCGTCTTCCTAGGTCATTTTTACCTCCTCCTGAATCGGCTTCACCTCCTGAATCGATTTCACCTCCTGGATCGGCTTCACCTCCTGGATCGGCTTCACCTCCTGAATCGGCTTCACCTCCTGAATCGGCCTCACCTCCAGAGTCAGTTCCATCTCCTCCGTTATCTGCACCCCGAATCTCACCACCAGTTCGGTCTCCTCAATCTCCATTTCCTACTGGTAAAACGGTGGTCTTAAAGTCTCCAGTGAGGCGCGCGAAATATCCAAAAAAATCTTTCATGGATAACGCTAAACCTCTCGTAGAGCCTAGAGATAAAGCAAAAAAAAAACCGCGAAAAACAGAAAAAGCGAGAAAACGTGATCTAAAAAAAAAAAAAAATCAAAAGCCTAGAAAGAAGGGCAAAGGTGGAGCTGTCGGTGCAGCAAAAATCCGACGAAGTAGCGGGTTACCGACATCGAATGTACGCACTTCGTCTGACGGCCAAAATTCTGCCGCCTTTCGAAGTCCCATCACTTCGGCGAGCAGTGCAGATCTTACAGACTTTGAGGACTCCGGAGATGACAAAAATACTCAGAGAAGAAGAGGTGTTCATCTTGAGTCTAAAAAAAGACAGTCCTGTCATTCTAGAAACTCGTTCAAAAAATAGAACGCAATAAAAAAACCGAAGGATGAATTGATATGGCGTCAATCAGACAAAATTGTACCGAACTAATCAGTAGCCTTCGAAAAATTGATGGTTCTTCCGTCCTTATTGTACGGCACTTTGCCATTGTCTGATATTAACTTTAACATGTGGTCCTTAGCAAGCACACCGGTGAGAATGTCTGTCTTTCCTATCCCAGCTGCGCCACATGCCGTTCAGTAGGACGCGCAGGACGCCACCTTTTCACCTACACTTACGATTCGCGTTTTGAATGTCACAAGCAAATTGAGCGAACTGTCGGGAAACGACGTTCTTCAGTTTAAAACTGTCTTTAAAAACCAATATTTAATAAAGTGATAGGACTTTATTGGACGAACCAGTCGATCAGCACGGAATAAGAAGTTTCATTGTGCCTGATTGAAATCAAGATGCAGCACACTTATTACCTCATTTCTTTTTTTGCCTAATTTGGTATTTATAAGAATTAAATAATTTTCAGACGGTGGCGATAGGTTAGAGATGGCAATGGCCTCATTTAGCCCCTATTACCTAATCCAAAAATCAGCATGCAACTCTAACGTGTCTATTTCTCATGTCCTGTGGTAAGCAAAGTATACAATGTCACCTGATGACTGTGGTTTTCGGATAAACTAGTGGAGGCAGTATAAAGTGCGCAGTCGAACAGACCCCCCATAGATGTGTATCATAAACCGCTCCATATTCTACAGATACTTAGCGATTACTGAGATGATTTCGAATAAAAGCTTTATTCAAGCTTTGCACTTATAGCTTAAGTCTGGCGCCAACCCAAAAAATGGCGCGCTTTGAGTAGTCGACGAGCTCGCTAACCAACAGAGCCCAAGCCCGCATTCCCATATCGCTTCGCAAAATCATGGGGACAAAAGACGAGGACGCAACATGCAGAGTATGCCCAAACTCCACTAGCGTAACATCGATTGCCAAAAATTTTTGTATCAAGCGTTCTACCAGAGTCTGCCATCTACGCCGGTTATACGGCAGACCTCTCGCATGATGCAATAAATACTTGAGCAGCTGGCACTTCTTTTTGTCATGCTCTTTCATTGCGGCCATCGATTGGAAGAAGTGTTCTTCGAAAGAATTATACTGGCAGGCCACCAAAATGGGTTGAGAAAGCTCTGCCAACCTGACACGACAAATCACAATGGTCTCTCTACTCATCCGTCACGGCTATTGCATTTGTAGAAGCCGAAAGCTTACCGTGAACTTAACCCAGTGTCAAACGTTAACATTCGATTCGAATTGTGTATTTGCAAAAGCCCACTTATTATCTCAAGCATTGACGAGGAAAAGAACGATAAATAAGTTAGCCGTAAAATTCACATTAAGCATAACTTGTATGGCCGATCCTCAATCATTTATTTTCATCTTATGAATAGTTATTGTGATACTGTTTTAGTAGATAAATCGTGCTCTTTTTTTTTAAATATAATACTAACTTTTCTACAGTATCATAAATTACACATGCGCAGCTCGGAATCACGCCAGTCGGCTGTTGCTGTTTGCTTTTAGCAGGAACAGGCCAGCTAGTACGAGCACCTATTTTTAGGGAGAGACAAACGGTCTCAACATGTGTAAGATGAAAAATCCAATGAGGTCGTAAAGAGCACCACAAGCCAAAAGGATGCCTTTCAGTGTCCTTTGGATAAGAGATGGCTGAGTCGTCAATTAAAGGATTAGCTTTTTAGTGTAGTATTGTATTAAGCGAAAAACTCGTTGCTATCAACAGCTTAGTTCTACGAAAAAAACCAAAGGCAATGCAATACAAATACAAAATACGGACACTCTAGATCATCTAGGTACGGTCACAGTTTTAGGGGTTCCTCCAGAATTTACATGTAAACTTTTTAAAAAAAATTTACAGATAGACCTTAGTAATAAACAGTATTGCAGGGCAGGCTCTTTGTGTTCACTTCCGACTTGACTTGATATCAGCCGGCTCCCAGCGCATACAGGTGGTTCCTTCTGTTTTTATGGTTAAATATCAAATGTTTTTTCTTCGGTCTTTTTGTACGTACTTGCGGACACTGTAGTTAGATATCTTGCAATTCTGTTCGTCCAAGTAAGTTCCAACAAGAGCGATAGCTTGTCAACAAAAAAGTGGCACCTCTATGTTGCAAGCTTTATGCACTGGTGAACGTCAGCCATCGTTTGAGGCCGTAGTACAATCGCTAAATTCTAAAATCCTGCTGCCTTTGAGGAGACCAACACACTTAACAGATGCCGCCATATATGTCGTCCATTAGTGGGCAGAACCCGGAAAAGGAAAATCGCTTCGGTGTTAGTCTCTATGAACGATAATGTTATACGAGGGCAATTTTTTCCGCTTTATTAATAGCTTCCAAATGGTATGAGGTGACAACTTCTTGTTTTCATAATTCGCATTTCTGAAGGTTGATCCAACAACTCTGTTCTGTGTTGCTCGTACACAGGCGCGCCTTTGACGTCTGACCCCAGACGGCACTGTGATCAAAAATAAATGCACCATTACCTACTGCCGAGCCAAGAAGGCAGTATCGTGTCGCGATTTAGCAGCTTCGCTGTCGATCGGGTGTCTAGATGACTTGAGTATGTATCACTGTTGTGCATCAACCAGATTAGGTTGGTCGAATACGAGAGGTTATAATTTTGGCCCTTATAACTGACAGCACCTCTTATTGAATTCTGTGTAACGTAACCCACCATATACTCTCCCGATATATTGGTAAATTGATTACTGGAAAGCGAAGTAAATCCGAGTAAGTTAAATGCTACTGAAAAAAATATTTAGCGAATATGAAGAGCTGGAACGGCGACTAAATACTTCCTGGCATAGGTAACCTGTCATAAGGATCCGTTCAATATTGTTTCTCCGTCACTGAGTTGATTACGGAAATTAGATGAAAACTCTGAATTCTTCTGAAACCTTGATAGTCGAAATCATTTTCAATTAATATAATAAATTCTATGTAGATGCGCTTATCTTCATTTCAAACTCATGTTACCGTAAGCTTGACTTACTTTGATAACGTAACATATCATTTTCGGGAGAATGTGGTGTGCCTGTATATGCGTTACATCTATCTTGATACGGATGTTCTTGGGTAAACTGGCAAAATGTTGAGAATGAAGCGCCGGTCAAAACGTCGCAAAGCACTAGCTTTGTTGTTCCCTCTAAAACCGCCCCACTTCTCTCGCGCCAGTATGCGATGCACTTCACGGTCGTTGCTATCTTTTGTCGAAAGCGGTTCTCTATGTTGCATAGCTAGAGCAGCCACGGAAACGTCAGCCAACGTCTGTAGGAATACTGTTCGCTAAACGAACAAACGAGTAAAGCTTACGAGCGACGCGATGCCGACGGGCAGCCTTTGGCTATTGTTGTCAGAGAGGTGCGTCCACCGACGGAAGGAGCGCTACGGTAAACGCAATGGGGGTGGTGACACAGAATCTGCAAGAGGAATAGACGTATATGAACGTGGACGCGCTTAGTGAACTGGAATTTATTATACATATGTAGCATACCTGTAGCTGGAACGGTAGTGGAAACAGCAGCAGTAACTGTTTTTATAGCGCAGTAATATGCTTCGAATTCTAGCGTCTTTACCGGGCGGTAGCCGCTTCGGCTAGGAGAAAGTGGGCTAGTGGTTAGACGACCCGCGGGCAGTCTGTCGGTCGTCGTTGTCATGGCTGGCATAGTCGCCCCCAGTGTCGTTCAAGTATCCGAACGGATCGACAACATCAGCGACAATACATCAAAAGCACAAAAAATAGACGACGAGTAGCAGGACACACACCGATTACGCTGTAGTCGGCATATGGCGGGGTCGACCTGTGGACAAGCAGGACGAAGGGCCAGACGGCGTCGCACCTGGCAGCATTCAGAAGTCGGGTACTCGCAGGTTCTTCTCAGTCGGGAAGCGTTGACCCCCCTGTCGACTCCAGAGAACGATGAACAGTTTTAGACAGACGCGTGCTCTGGGAGCAGGCATCTCCGACCGTGTTCATAGGCTGTTCGGCTTTAGAATGGGTCCCTCACTACGAACTCAATTCCAGTTCTATTCTGCTATATAAGTCAATCCGAATAACGCTAACGGAAATTTTATTTCGTGAAGCTTGCTTGTACGCCCTGTTTGTTCGATTGCTCACTTCCTAGAACGTGACGCCTGATCTTATAGCGAAGGGCTGAGTTGGACTTAATTCATTGAGGATATTAAATATCAAGAAACATTTTTTTTACATTGATATTATGTAGACAGTGCGTGTCGTAATGACAGACCATGCACGATAGATTTTTCATTCATACCATTGTTAGGCTTATTTGGCGCGAAATTATGAAACTTAATAAAGTAATCGATAGTGTTGCAAACACCCTTACGCCGTATAAGCTGGGTCGTTTGACCTTCCTTGCTCGACTATGAATGATCTAACAAAAATGTCAATGGCTATCGTCTGCACAAAAGACTTCCGTTTACGTGCATTGTGTGACATGACCTATTTTTCCTTTTACTTCCCGACTGAGCTAGCCAGCTGCAGGTTTTCAGGATGACAAAAACAGCGATAATTTAAATTGAAACCATCCCGTTGCCCTCGTGTGTGTACTTCATGATCGGCCACTATTCACCTCATGAAGGTATCAAGGACTCATCGAATTGTCTAGCGGCAAATTCGCTCGATATCTGTGCATCTCTTCTATCATAACATATAAACATTGTCTGTTTTGTTTCTCACAATTCGGAAGTCTCCACAAAGTCGAGTTGCCTAGAGCCTGGTCATATTGACGTCAGTCGGCTGAAAAAACATATAATTCGTACAATGCACAGGTTTGTCGGCTTCACATTGATATTTGTGCACAAAAGAAACGCGCTATATTAGAAATTTTCTTTCTCAAATATTTGCTCAGGTACGAATAAGTATCGCCTACTAGAGGTTGATATTTCAACAAACTCTCACTCCGAATCACGATCTGACGAACTAAAATAGGTTTAATTATCTGACTCTAAGCTGACAGCATCGTAGCCCAGATAGAAAGTCTCGGGTACCGGCAGAATTAACAACAACTCAGAATGGTCTCCAATGGTTTTACGTTCTACCAGCTGATACATCACTCCGAAAAGCATGGGTTCAACTAAGCTAATGGATATAAGACACCACACGTAAATCTAAAATCCTTAAGCCCCTTGCGGCAAGCAACAAAATAGACATTTCTCCCCTTACTGTTGCTACCTCCATAACGGCTCACGTCTTACCCAGTGTCCTTTATTTAACAAGAATATTTCTGTAACCTTGGCATAATAAACCACTAAGCATCTGGGCTTATTG